CTCCAATTGTTCAACCTGATATGTATGCTGAAATTCTGAATATGAGCAATTCAGAATATCTCCAGTATTTAAAACAACTGACTTTTGGACCGGTTCTACCTCCTCCCGGTTTCGGTTTTGATGGGCTCTATCAACCTCCACCTCCACCAGAGCCTCTCCCGAAGTTTCCACCAAGTCTGCCAGTTCTTGCACCACTGCCACAAGAAATCCCTGCTCCTCCACCGCCTCCTCAGCAGATGCCACTCAACCCGTTCATCCGTCCTCGAGTGGACTTTACTAGGTTTTTTAATCAAACCTATTCATCTTCAAGCTCAAACGGGTCGATGTTCGAGGAAAGTGAGTCCAGTGGTGACTCAGGACCGGGATATGCTCCTTCACCACCAAGAGGCTATGACTTAGAAGATTGCATGAGTACTGGCTTCTCTGCTTGTTGAACAAATGTTATGTTATCTCTCTCTCTCTCCTTCTCCCTAAGAAGGAGATGAATAAAATTATGGTTATTTTGTGCTTCTGTTTATCTCTATTTTCTCTCTGTCTCTCTCTCCTACAAAATGAAAAATCCCTATGTATATAAAAAGATCAAAAGTTTCGTAGCCAAAAAGACACACAAAAAAATAATATATGAATAAAAATAAAATAAAAAGGAATTAAAAAAAAATTGCTTATGGCTACAAAAAGGGATAAAAGAAGAAAAGAATTAAGAGGAGAAGTGTCAGTACGAGAAGAAATAAGAGAACAAGTGTCAGAAGAAAGAAGAAGAGATATACTAGTTGAAGTTGCAGTAGAAGTTGCTACTGAGAGTAGACTGCAAATCACAGAGGATTTATCCAGTGTATTGCCGGTACACCATACCGAGTCTACCATGCCTACCATGGACCCTGTTCTAGAAAATGAAGAATTATTTGCAGACAATTACACGAGAACAGAAGTCCTAGAAGAACAAGTTGGTGATCTCAATCAAGAAGCCGAATCACCTGAAGAAGAAGGGATGCAACTTATTGATACAGTTGTTCTCACAGATCCGAATAGAAGTCCATTTGGATCCCCTCAAAACTTTGTGCAGATGAATGATCAAGATGATGGCATATTTTCATCCTTATTTGCCAAAGTAGCCGAATCCAGTGATGTTGTTTGTCAAACAGTTGGAGAAAAGTTGGTTGAACCAAACCAAAAGCTAGAACAATAACACACGGATGTACGAGTCAATCTGAAGGAATTAATGGAGCATCAAAATATTTTGAAGACCCAGATTGACAAAGCAGAAAGAATTTTGAAAGGAGAATTGACAAAAGGCTTACTTGAAGTGATTCAGCTCATGAAGAAGGAACGAGAAGCAGCTGAAAAGATTAACAACGAACGTCACTTGAGACAGATCAAAGCAATTCAAGACCAAGAAAGCCGAATCAACAAACTTGAACCTGAACTCGCAGTTACAACAAACAAGCTGGACAACGTATAAACCGTTTCCATTGAAACGCACAATAGTGTTGAAACTATGAAGGCAAACCAAGACCGAGATTTTAAGACCCTTGCATTTTTGGTTAATAACGCCAAAAGAGGGGGAGAAATTCTCAGTCACTTGGCTTTGCAACAACAAGAATTTATTCTTGGAAGTCAACAACAGCCAGTAATGTCTACTCAAGGTAGAGGCCGAAGCCGCGGACAATCCTCACAAGGACCATCTCAGATTGGTTTTGCTCAGTTCGCGAATCCTAGTCTTGGTACGAGTACATCGAAGGTTGCTGAACAGCGTGGCTGGTTTGAATGCTCTAAGGGTACCGCCACTCAGACAACAATATGGACCAAGGAAAATTTACCAAGCATGATCAAGAAATGGCCTGCAGCCGATCAATCCAATGGATCTCGGAGAAGAATAAAGAAGAAGAAGGCAAAAGGAAAAGAACCGAGATGTGGTATGAACTAAGAGATTTCACTGGAAATATGGGCATGAATCTTGGAGAAGAAAGAAGCTTCGAAGAATGTGTCTTATGGTGGGAAAACGGAGTTCTTCCAGGCAACAATATCAAAGAAGCTTTTGGACACTACATGGCCGGACAGCTTACAAAGAAATTTCAGAATGCAAAGTTCAAAGATGATTTCTTCAAGCTCAGAGAACATGTCAAGGAAATTTTGAAGAAAGACTCTGGTGTGAAGAAACCCAGAAGGTAATCAGAAAATTCTCTTAAGTTGATATATTCTCTATTTTCGAAGCTCTGTTGCGTTTTTCTCTATAAATTCGAAATAAATCAATAATAATTTCCCGTGGTCTATTTTGAGTCTTTAATTTTGTTTGTTTAATGTAATTAGTCTTTCGTGAATTAAAAGACAAGAAATATGTCAAACGCACAACAAAATTAAAAAAATTGATGATGATCAAAATAAAAATAATTCAAGATGCGTTTAGGAACTTGTCTAAAAATTAATTCACAATTTTTCTTTTGATTATGTCTAGAAAACCATTTGTTAAACTCATCTTGGCTTTGTCAAATAAAATTGAGCAAAAAGATTATTTTTCAAAGACTTAAAGCCAATGACTGAGTATAGGTTTTGGCATTATCAAAAGGGGGGAAATTGTTAGGAATAAAGTGTAATGGTTTTGATATGCCAAATTTGTATTTGTAGATCCCCCAATTTTGTTTATAGGTCTAGTAGAGTCTTAGACCATGATCGGGAAATTATTTAATTTGAAAAGAGAAAAACAGAGGAAGATGCATGAAAATAGTAGAAGAAGATATCAAGCCTAAAATCAAGAATTTGTCTGGAGAAAATGACAAATTGAAGAAGAAGATGAATGATACAATATTCACGTCAATGCTACTACTCAAAGAAGATATCCCAGAAGAATTTTCGTGAAGAAAATTAATATTGGAAGAATGCATGAAATTTACTTGGAGATCAAGCATCTATGGAAAGAAAGGAGTACATCAAATGTGATTGGAGATTTAATCAAAAGCTGTACGGACGAAGTGGATGATGCTTGATATATTATGCGAAATGGCTCATGTTTGAAACTCACCATCAACAATTTTACAAGGTAAAATTTGAGAAGCCAAATTAAATTAATCTGATGGAGTTGGGCTTGGGTTGTAGTATGGGATGCAATTTCAAGTGAAGACATAGGAGATCAAATTGAATTGAGATGAAATTCAATACCAGGAGAAGTCTGGGAGCCAATTTCGAAGTCAAAGTCAACACAAGTGAAGACATAGGAGATCAAATTGAATTGAGATGAACATGAAGACATAGGAGATCAAATTGAATTGAGATGAACATGCAATTTCAAGTGAAGACATAGGAGATCAAATTGAATTGAGATGAACAATTGAAGTGAAGACATAGGAGATCAAATTGAATTGAGATGAAATTCAATACCAGTTTCGAAGTCAAAGTCAACAATTCAAATTGGGTAGCAATTGAAAGCACCAGGAGTAGTTTGGGAGCCAATTGCAAGTTAAAGTCAATTGGGAGCCAATTACATTGGAGAAATTCAAATTGGGTGCCAATTACAAGCCAATTGAAATTGAGTGTCAATTACAAAGGAGAAATTCAAATTGGGCCAGACGTGAGAATGAAGAAGATGAAGATGAACTTACAGTGAAAATATTCTCACAAGGAAAAATACTAGTTTTAACTAGTATGGGATTAAATTAATGAATATTTTTTCCCAAAGATACAAGGACCAGTTCAGAGCTAATCAGAGAAGCCGTTCTACACCCAGATATTCCCACTCAACGTAAAACCAGAGGAAATATCAGATGAAGTTTGAGAACCCATTTACATGGAGATGAAGCTCTAACAACGGCTAGCTTATCCTTTCTGACATCTTTGCAGAAGATAAGATAAGATCTCTGACAAAAAGATACAAGATTTCAAAAATGAGAGCGTCTCTTTCCAACGGATAGATTCTCATTACCAGCTATAAAATGATGAAGATATGAAGATTTGAAGAGTGGAGAGCAATAGAGCAGTTAACGAACTCACGAAAAAGAGAGCAGAAAATTCGAATCCATAAAAGGGATCGAATAGAGCAATTAAGCTTAAAAGAGCATAGAGCAAAAATCTCATTTGGTACAGAGCATACCAAAAATCTTCAAGTGAGAAGTGAGAAAAGAAAAAGAACTCAGAGAGCTTCAAAAGAGAAATATTCTGAGAGTTCTTAAACAGAGCAAAAATATCAAGTGCTTTACTTGATATATTCAAAGAGAGAAAACACTCAGAGCTATCAAGAGAAATCATTCCAGAGTGTTTATCTTCATCAAAGAGACCTGCGCATCATTGAAGATCAACTACAGAGTCTCAGAAGTTGGAAGCAAGACAACACTTGTTTTGGAGCAAAACAAGAGAAGGGAGGAAAGTAGCACGGAGCTGTGAAATCCTAGATTGTCACACGGAGCTGTGAGATCCGAAGCAGCAGTGTCGGAGGCACTGGGCGTGATTAGTGCGGGCTTTGTGATCAAAACACTAGATCACGGGATACGTTTCTACCGGAGTGTGGAAGACGGGGGGAAAGTAACGCGGAGTCGTGAAATCCTGGGATAGTAGCGCGGCGACGTGAAACCTGAAGCAGCAGTGTGGTGTCACTGGGCGTGATTAGTGCGGGCTTTGTGATCAAAGCACTAGATCACGGAAATTCATTGTATCTTGGAACCAATGAGTGGTAGATATAGTGAATTGCTCTTGGAGATAAGAGCAAGTGGAGTAGGAGGATTACACCACCTCGCGAACCACTATAATTGTCTTGTGTTCTTTACTGCTTTCTTTACTTACTGCTCTTTACATATACGCTCTACACGAGATATACTGCTCACACACACTTTATGTTTATTTATTTCCGCTGTGCACCATACTCTAGCAATCTAGTTAAGAGTTTTGGTTTATCTCTGGCTTAGCAATTGTTGGTTTATTCTCCCACTCTAGACTTTCACCTTACCTCTTTTGGGACCAACAGGTAATGTACAACATATGGACATTTCTACACAGATACTTTTTAATAGAGCTATGGCTCAGCTTGGTCTATGTGCATTCAGGGTTGGACTTATATTTTCGAGGGGGATAGTTGTCTGTCTGAGCTTTATTCTGCTGACAGGGTAAAAGAATTGCTTGCGCAAGGTGTCTCTCAAAGCCAATATCATGAAAAGACACCAGAACAGGTATGACCTTTTATTGTCACAGATGATTTATATTGACTCTATATTTTGGCATATCACACATGGTCCATAATTTACAGCTATAGAATCTTAAATTTCATTATAAAGGGGAGTGGTGTGGCAGAGTTGTGATGGACTTTTCTTTTATTTCTTAGAGCATGTCTTGTGTGCGTGTTGCATATAAATGGGTGCTGCTGTTAAATTTATTTCTTAGAGTAGGGTGTTTTTTTTTTCATGAGATAATATTATATTATGATGACTCTATTTGATAAACTTTGCAGCCCAGTTCCCCCAATTATTCTGCATTGCTTTCTATTTTCTCTTATAGTACCGATTGCATCTTAAGTTATACTTCCACATTAGTGCAGAAGTGTTTTTCACATTCTTTTACTGCTTACATCATTATATTTGCATTATACTTTTTGATTCAAGTCATGTTTTGATATTATCAGGAGAGAATGGAAAGGAGGCGTCAAATGCCATATCATATGCACATAAATCTTGAGCTGCTCGAATCTGTCCATCTTATATGTGCAATGCTGTTGGAAGTTCCAAACATGGCAGCCAATAGCCATGACGGAAAGCGCAAAGTCATAAGCAAGACTTTCCGGAGACTGCTAGAGATGAGCGAAAGGCAAACATTCACTGGGCCTCCTGAAAATGTTAGGGACCATATAATGGCAGCTACAAGAGCCCTGCGCCAGGGAGATTTCAAAAAGGCCTTTGACATTATTAACTCCCTTGACATTTGGAGGCTGCTTCGGAATAAAGACAATGTTCTTGAAATGGTTAGGGCGAAAATCAAGGAAGAGGCTTTGAGGACTTATCTTTTCACTTACTCTTCCTCTTATAACTCGCTTAGCCTGGATCTGCTTGCCAAGATGTTTGAACTTTCTGATTCCCAAACTCATGATCACTGACGAGCTGGGATCAACCGACTCGGTGTGTGGTCTTCCATGATGTTGAACATACAAGACTACAGGCTTTGGCATTCCAGCTGACAGAGAAGCTAGCAATTCTCGCAGAAAGTAATGACAGAGCAGTCGAGGCAAGATTGGCGGTGGATTGGATGGCCCTCCCTTGAGACGCAGGGATGGCCAAGATTATGCTGCAGCTGCTGGTGGTGGTACTGGGGAAAGTGGCCGGAGTTCTTGACCACTAAGCTAAGGGTGTTTCTTGAAACCTCAAGGGAACACTCCCTTGTTAAAGCCCCTACAAATCCCTAAAACCCACAAAATCCCAAATCAAAAACCCTTCTCTTCCTTCTTCCCCAAATCACCCAATCTCCCCTCCCTTCCAAAGCCACCACCAAACTCCGTCGCACCACCACTCGCCTCCCTCGACCGGCGCTCGCCCGCCACCGCAACCCACCAGCAGCGCCCCATCCATACGCCGCCACCACTGCCGGCAGTCAACCGCCGACCGCCCACCCCACACCCGGCAGCGACCCGCTGCCACGTGAACGCCGACGACGCGAGCTGGCCACCACCACACGCCGCCATTGTTGCCTCGACACCAACACGCCGTCGCCTCCCCTCGCCGAGCCGACGCCGGAATACGGCCCACCGCCACCTCCCTCGCAAACGGAGAAAAGCTGCCCGCCGGAAAACGCGCCGAAGGCCCGCCGGAAAAAGCCATCGGAAAAAGGGTCATCCATCAAAATGCCGAAAAAGCCCCTCGGAACCCGTACCCCGGAATGGAGCAACACCGATTATACCGTAATCGGAGGTAAAACCCTTAAACCCGACCAATTTTCTCCGGAATTGGTTGATATGCTTAATCACCAAGGACTTTTGGATACGTATCTCGCCATCAAGGGGGATACGTACCCCGAATTGGTGAAAGAATTCTATCAACATCTTGTAGCCACCAAACGGGGTGATAAGCTAGAAGTCGCCACCAAGGTCCGCGGCAAGGAAATTATACTCTCCGAAGGCCGCTTGGCCAAGCTCTTGAAATTGACCACCACGGGTGTGTCGAACTACGACCGAAAGGGGTGGATTGACACCCAAAATACGGGGTACAAGGAATACCTCGGGTACCTACTCGGGAAGGAGGAAGGATTCACCTCGGCCACACGACCTAATAGGAAGTGGCTATCGGCGGAGCAAAAGATATTGGTTATGATTGTAACCGATAGCCTCTTGCCTACGAACAATAAGAGCAAGGACGTGGGGAGTTTAGAATGCACCTTTGCCTATTTCTTGAAACACAAAATCAAGTTCAACCTGCCGGCCCTCATGCTAAAACACATGGAGTTTTGCAAATCAAGCAACCGGCTTAGCCTACCCTACGGGATGATCCTAAGTTGGATCATGGAGAAAAAGGGGGTGGACCTAAGCCACACCGAGGTTAAGACCGCAAATGGCATGGTCTTTAACGCCCAGAACCTACGCCGCAATGATATCTACTACACCGAGGGAGGACATTACCTCACCCTCGAAGAAATTTGCTAAAAACCCGAGGATGAACGAAGAGAATTGGTCGACCAATTAGACATCTCCAACAAGAAGCTCAAACGGGCAATGCAAGATTGCGGAATCCTGGAGGGAAATGAAGACCAGGAGGAGGATGACGAACCCAACCCGTCGGTGCAACCACGATCAGGAGGGAACCCAAGGGAGCAAAACGAGGGCTCAATCAATGAACGCATACTCGCACAGCTCAACCGGCAAAACCAAATCATGGAGGAAGGGTTCTCATCCTTGATCCGTACTACACGCGCACTAGACCAGAGGGTGGCAGCAATCGAGGCCACCTTGGGCACTCGCGGGGCATCCAGCTCAGGAGCAGGAGACCGAGGTAGACCCAAAACCTTTCTATCGCAACACCACCAGAAATCCAGTCTACCCCAGCTAAGGCAAAACGTGGGGCCACATTCCTAACCGGGAGGCCAAGATGCGGAATGCCTAGGGGTGAAAGAATGGATTAACACACCGGGCTTCGGGGACGAAGCCCCTTGTAAGGGGGGGGAGAGTGTAACACCCCGTGTTACGATCCCTAAAATCAATTAAATCATTTAATCAATTACCCAAAAGAAAGAATTAAATCACAATAATTAATTAGGAAAGGCCCACCATGGTCCACGGGCCCTTATCCCTAAACCCAACCCTTAGTTCCAAAAGGAATAGAATTAGCAAGTCTATAATATTAGTCCCTAACCAGGACTCCCAAATATATAAATAGGGGACCTAAGAGGCACCTAGAACCCCCCACCACAATAAACGACTCACCACCCCAAAGAGCTCTAAGAATTCCCTTAGAAGAAATCAAGAAAGCAAGAAAGCTTAAAGAAAGACCCTTCATAGCCAAGGAATTAATTAAGGCTAAGAGGTAACCCATGTCTCAACAAAACCTATTTTCATAGCTATGATTCCCCTCTTAGGATTTCCCCATATCATTGTGTATTGATGATTGTGATATTATTATTGATGATTGGTGGGATGATTCCATGGATGATCTTGATGATGAGAGGTTCTTGATAATTATGGTGTTCTTGATAATTATATGACGTTCTTGATGATTATATGATGTCCTTGATAATTGTAAGATGTTCTTGATGTTTATGTGATATTCTTACCGAATCTTGATATTAGAAGATGAATTGTGTCCTTGTTGATTTAAAAGTGATTAGAACCCTAGGTTGTATCGTATGATATCATCCTTGGTATATGGGGTGGGAATTCGCATGATTGGGTGTTGATTATGTTTAGAAAAGCATGATAGGTTATGTGCCGTATGTTTCTTGATTTTGATCCGTTAATTGTCTACGTGTGTTATCAATTGCGTTTGAAAGTGTCTAAGCATGGTTTCGGGTTCCACAAAGGTTCCCAGGGCGTTTTTGTGATGAAAGAGTCAGTGGGGGGTAGGTGGGGGTAGGGGACCCGCCACCTACCCGCGGCCTTCTTGGGCAACGCCGGCAGCGGGCAGCTGCCCGCCGGGCACCCGCTGCCCGGATTTGCTACCGCCGGCGGGTGATCCCTCACCCACCGGCTACCCGCTGGTTTGAACCCCACTTTGGGATTTTGGCTTCCCCGTTTGATGTTCCCCCGACCCCCGTGGTGTCCCAACGGACTCCGTCTATCGTGCCTATGTCTAGTTTGATATTTCGGGTACCATTCGTAGGTTGTATGAGTCTTATATATTGCATGCTAGTTGAATTGGTATCCCGTTGACCTAGGTGGAAGAAGTATGAACCCCTTAGGATTATTCTTAGTATGTGAAGGATCACGCATAGGTTTTGTTATACGTTTTCTCCCCCTTCCCAATGTGTTAATGTGGGTTGCATGTGCTTGCTATGTGTTATGTGTGCATGATACCCCAATTCGGTTGCGATCAGATTGGTTATTCCTGAGCTGCGGTTCAGAAGCTGGCTGCGGTCAGATTTACACTCTTGGGCTGCGGTCCACCGTTTGGTTGTGATCAAACGTTTCTATATGAGCTGCGGTTCATACTTTCCTGGCTGCGGTCAGATGACATACTCTTGGGCTGCGGTCCACTGTTTGGTTGCGATCAAACTATGATGAGCTGCGGTTCATCGGTCGGTTGCGATTGACCCCTCCGTGTTGCGATACGGGGCAGGGTGCTGCGGGGCCGTGTCAGAGCTATATGCGCTGACCCTCATGTATGGGCATGCGATTGGTCCTGTGGCGCCAACAAAGTGTGTTATGTGATGGGACATGGAGGAGTTGTTGTTATGAGTGTCTTGGGGATGTGACTATGGGATTCATATTGGGAATCGTATATGTTGGGTTATGATTATTAATTGTGCTTATCTTATCTGCCTTGCCTGTGGTAAACTGTATATGCTTGGTATAACTGCTGTCGGTACTTAACCCTATCTACTGAGTCTATCCCTGTTTTAAAAGCTAGAGTTCGTAGGATATATCTTCATGTTCAAAATGGTTTTCGTATATCTATATATATATCTATATGTATTGTATTTCAACGCGTTGGAATGGGTTACCAGCATCTCTCGCTGAACAGATATATTTGGCTTTCAGGCACGAACGAGTAGATCACTGGAGCGCGCTAGAAGCTTGGGGCGTAGCTTAGATAGTTCCCCCTTTCGGCCTGCGTGACATGATTTAGTATTGATACTAATTGAGGTTTTAGAATTTAGCCTGTGCACCCGAGTTCTCTAGCTCGGGTGTGGCATAGCACCCCGTACTCTTGTATCGTATTTTTGGGATTTAATGAGATTCTATCTTTATTATATAAGTTTTGAAAGTCTTGAAAATCTGGGGTGTTACAAGATTCATCGTGATCTTGAAACCCGTTTCCCGTTCATCTCCTTTCCTTTTGTTGACTGAAATTCTCATCTTTAGCGTCGTCATTCAGTGAGAGTACATTGACTAGCGATTATGGAAACCTAGTCGAGTGGGTGGAAGAACGGGAAGCTGAGTTCGAAATTAAGAAACTTGAAGAAATTATGAATCTTAAATTGGGAAACCTAGTCAAAGAAGCTAGAACTGAATGAAGAAAGCTAGTCGCGATATGATAATAAAGAGCGGGATCCAAACTACTGAGATCAGAGAGCGCTTTAATTACAACGTTAGTTCTTGATTCTTGATTAGGTCATCTTTCATCTGCAACGTAACTGCCAGATTTAATTTTAAATAGTGTAACATGCATATACCACCCAAAAACTAACAAACAATAGCATTCAACAAACTCTCAAAATCTCTCATTGTTTGCAATGCATCGTTGAATTCAACATTCTTTTCCATCTTCTCCAATGCGATTCTGGCAGCTACTCTCTGGATTTTCTGCTCGGCTTCTGTCCTCATCTGTACAAGTGTTTGGGCAGCTTTGATTTCTTGTTCAATCTTGGCTTTCTCTGCAATCTCCAGCCTCCTAATTTCTTCTTGTTGCTTCAAATGGTCAGCAATATCTCTCTGCTTTAGATGATGCTTTACTTTGAAAATGAGATGTGCATATCGTTTCTTCATCATCGCAGCACGTAGTTCCTTTGTTGGAGAAAGCTGATGAGCAGCAACAATGGTGGCATTCGGTGATGAAGAAGAATGATGAGAAGACCGCTGAGCAGCAACAATGGTGGCAGTGGGTGATGAAGAAGAATGACGAGAAGACCGGTGAGCAGCAACAATGGTGGCAGTCGGTGATGAAGAAGAATGATGAGACGACCTACAATCCCTATGATTCCGCAGACAACCTTGATGACTCGGCTTAGGTTTGTTTTGGCGATCCCTCCCACTTCTGTGAATGGTGGCAGTCGGTGATGAAGAAGAATGATTTGGCAGATAACCTCGATGACTTGTCTTAGGTTTGTTTTGGCAATCCCAGTACCTACCACCTCTGTGAATCATCGTTGCCTTGCAGTCTTGCGTTAAACCCACACTTTTCCGCCGCCTCTTAATTTCTTTTCCGTTGAAATCATCAGAACATTCACGCTTCTTGGATTCAAGCTTCTTGTTGTTGTGAGTGATGAGTAGATTCCTCGTGATCTTCAAACCCTTTTCCCGATCATCTCCTTTCCTTTTGTTCACTGAAATTCTCATCTTTAACGTCGTCATTCAGCGAGAGTACAGTGACGAGCGATTATGGAAACCTAGTCGAGTGGTTCGAAGAACGGGAAGTTGAGTTCGAAATTAAGAAACTTGAAGAAATTATGAATCTTAAATTGGGAAACCTAGTCAAAGAAGCTAGAACTGAATGAAGAAAGCTAGTCGCGATATGATAATAAAGAGCGGGATCCAAACTACTGAGATCAGAGAGCGCTTTCCTTACAACGTTAGTTCTTGATTCTTGACTAGGTCATCTTTCATCTGCAACGTAACTGCCAGATTTAATTTTAAATAGTGTAACATGCATATACCACCCAAAAACTTACAAACAGTAGCATTCAACAAACTCTCAACATCCCTCATTGTTTGCAATGCATCGTTGAATTCAACAGTGTTTTCCATCTTCTCCAATGCGATTCTGGCAGCTACTCTCTGGATTTTCAGCTCGGCTTCTGCCCTCATCTGTACAAGTGTTTAGGCAGCTTTGATTTCTTGTTCAATCTTGGCTTTCTCTGCAATCTCCAATCTCCTAATTTCTTCTTGTTGCTTCAAATGGTCAGCAATATCTCCCTTCTTTAGATGATGCTTTGCTTTGAAAATGAGATGTGCATATCGTTTCTTCATCATCGCAGCACGTAGTTCCTTTGTTGGAGAAAGCTGATGAGCAGCAAAAATGGTGGCAGTCGGTGATGAAGAAGAATGATGAGAAGACCGCTGAGCAGCAACAATGGTGGCAGTGGGTGATGAAGAAGAATGATGAGAAGACAGGTGAGCAGCAACAATGGTGGCAGTCGGTGATGAAGAAGAATGATGAGACGACCTACAATCCCTATGATTCCGCAGACAACCTTGATGACTCGTCTTAGGTTTGTTTTGGCGATCCCTCCCACTTCTGTGAATGGTGGCAGTCGGTGATGAAGAAGAATGATTTGGCAGACAACCTTGATGACTTGTCTTAGGTTTGTTTTGGCAATCCCAGTACCCACCACCTCTGTGAATCATCGTTGTCTCGCAGTCTTGCGTTAAACCCACACTTTTCCGCCGCCTCTTAATTTCTTTTACGTTGAAATCATCAGAGCATGCACGCTTCTTGGATTCAAGCTTCTTGTTGTTGTGAGTGATGAGTAGATTCCTCGTGATCTTCAAACCCTTTTCCCGATCATCTCCTTTCCTTTTATTGACTGAAATTCTCACATTTAGCGTCGTCATTCAGCGAGATTACAGTGACGAGCGATTATGGAAACCTAGTCGAGTTGGTGGAAGAACGGGAACCTGAGTTTGAAATTAAGAAACTTGAACAAATTATGAATCTTAAATTGGGAAACCTAGTCAAAGAAGCTAGAACTGAATGAAGAAAGCTAGTCGTGATATGATAATAAAGAGCGGGATCCAAACTACTAAGATAAGAGAGCGCTTTCCTTACAACGTTAGTTCTTGATTCTTGACTAAGTCATCTTTCATCTGCAACGTAACTGCCAGATTTAATTTTAAATAGTGTAACATGCATATACCACCCAAAAACTAACAAATAGTAGCATTCAGCAAACTCTCAAAATCTCAAATTGTTTGCAATGCATCGTTGAATTCAACAGTCTTTTCCATCTTCTCCAATGCGATTCTGGCAGCTACTCTCTGGATTTTCAACTCAGTTTCTGCCCTCATCTGTACAAGTGTTTGGGCAGCTTTGATTTCTTGTTCAATCTTGGCTTTCTCTGCAATCTACAGACTCCTAATTTCTTCTTGTTGCTTCAAATGGTCAGCAATATCTCCCTGCTTTAGATGATGCTTTGCTTTGAAAATGAGATGTGCATATCATTTCCTCATCATCGCAGCACGTAGTTCCTTTGTTGGAGAAAGCTGATGAGCAGCAACAATGGTGGCAGTCGGTGATGAAGAAGAATGATGAGAAGACCGGTGAGCAGCAACAATGGTGGCAGTGGGTGATAAAGAAGAATGATGAGAAGACCGGTGAGCAGCAACAATGGTGGCAGTCGGTGATGAAGAAGAATGATGAGAAGACCGGTGAGCAGCAACAATGGTGGTAGTGGGTGATGAAGAAGAATGATGAGAAGACTGGTGAGCAGCAACAATGGTGGCAGTCGGTGATGAAGAAGAATGATGAGACGACCTACAATCCCTATGATTCCGCAGACAACCTTGACGATTCGTCTTAGGTTTGTTTTGGCGATCCCTCCCACTTCTGTGAATGGTGGCAGTCGGTGATGAAGAAGAATGATTTGGCAGACAACCTTGATGACTTGTCTTAGGTTTGTTTTGGCAATCCCAGTACCCACCACCTGAATGAATCATCATTGTCTCGCAGTCCTGCGTTAAACCCACACTTTTCCGCTGCCTCTTAATTTCTTTTCCGTTGAAATCATCAGAACATTCACGCTTCTTGGATTCAAGCTTCTTGTTGTTGTGAGTGATGAGTGGATTCCTCGTGATCTTCAAACCCTATTCCCGATCATCTCCTTTCCTTTTGTTGACTGAAATTCTCATCTTTAGTGTCGTCATTCAGCGAGAGTACAGTGACGAGCGATTATGGAAACCTAGTCGAGTGGGTGGAAGAACGGGAAGCTGAGTTCGAAATTAAGAAACTTGAGGAAATTATGAATCTTAAATTGGGAAACCTAGTCAAAGAAGCTAGAACTGAATGAAGAAAGCTAATCGCGATATGATAATAAAGAGCGGGATCCAAACTACTGAGATCAGAGAGCGCTTTCCTTACAACGTTAGTTCTTGATTCTTGATTAGGTCATCTTTCATTTGCAACGTAACTGCCAGATTTAATTTTAAATAGTGTAACATGCATATACCACCCAAAAACTAACAAACAGTAGCATTCAACAAACTCTCAAAATCCCTCATCATTTGCAATGCATCGTTGAATTCAACAGTCTTTTCCATCTTCTCCAATGCGATTCTGGCAGCTACTCTATGGATTTTCAGCTCGGCTTCTGCCCTCATCTGTACAAGTATTTGGGCAGCTTTGATTTCTTGTTCAATCTTGGCTTTCTCTGCAATCTCCAGCCTCCTAATTTCTTCTTGTTGCTTCAAATGGTCAGCAATATCTCCCTGCTTTAGATAATGCTTTGCTTTGAAAATGAGATGTGCATATCGTTTCTTCATCATCGCAGCACGTAGTACCTTTGTTGGAGAAAGCTGATGAGCAGCAACAATGGTTGCAGTCGGTGATGAAGAAGAATGATGAGAAGACCGGTGACCAGCAACAATGGTGGCAGTGGGTGATGAAGAAGAATGATGAGAAGACCGGTGAGCAGCAACAATGGTGGCAGTGGGTGATGAAGAAGAATGATGAGAAGACCGGTGAGCAGCAACAATGGTGGCAGTCGGTGATGAAGAAGAATGATGAGACGACCTACAATCCCTATGATTCCGCAGACAACCTTGATGATTCGTCTTAGGTTTGTTTTGGCGATCCCTCCCACTTCTGTGAATGGTGGCAGTCGGTGATGAAGAAGAATGATTTGGCAGACAACCTTGATGACTTGTCTTAGGTTTGTTTTGGCAATCCCAGTACCCACCACCTCTGTGGATCATCGTTGTCTCGCAGTCTTGCGTTAAACCCACACTTTTCCGCCGCCTCTTAATTTCTTTTACGTTGAAATCATCAGAGCATGCACGCTTCTTGGATTCAAGCTTCTTGTTGTTGTGAGTGATGAGTAGATTCCTCGTGATCTTCAAACCCTTTTCCCGATCATCTCCTTTCCTTTTGTTGATTGAAATTCTCATCTTTAGCGTCGTCATTCAGCGAGAGTACAGTGACGAGCGATTATGGAACCTAGTCGATTGAGTGGGTGGACTACTGAGATCAGAGACCGCTTTCCTTACAACGTTAGTTCTTGATTCTTGATTAGGTCATCTTTCATCTGCAACGTAACTGCCAGATTTAATTTTAAATATTACTTCTCTCCCAAGTTTAGTTTAAATAAATTATTAAATAACCCTCAACATAAATTATATTATTTCATTTCATTTTTTATAAATGAAATTTTAATTAATTTGAAAAATATTGTTATTATTTCAGTAATATTAAGATTTTTTTTAAAAAAATAATGAATAAAAGGAGTTAATTGATTTAAGTTTAATTAAAATGATTTGAAATGCTCTTAACAATAACAATATTTACTGAATATCAAACCTTTTATTATATAATATAAATTGTTTAAATGAATAATTGAGGGCAAAATATTCATATAATTTAACACATATTTTTTTTTATGAACCAAATTTCGATCAGAAAGGAGGATGAGAAACCTTTCCTTACCTGAAAGTCTGAAACAACAGAGGATTTGCAACTCTGTTGCGAGACCCCCATTCACAGTCTCCACGGTGGCCGGAGCTAGAGAAACATTGATTGAGTTCAAACCGGTTAGACCAGAGGCCATGCATGGCTAAACCGATCGAAACCACCGCCACCAATCCCCTCTCTGTTCGCCGGACGGCGACCCGCTCGGCAATCTGAGTAGCGAAAGCTGGTCTCCGCGCATCCCCAACACCCTCAAAACCTTCGGATCCTCCATGCAGCAGCTGAGACACCGGCAACACCGTACCCCCATTCACGAAGGTGCGATCGATTGCGAAGAAGGCCCGCCACCCGTCGCTGAGACACCGGCAACACCGTCTTCGCTGCTGCGTCATCTCCTCCTCCGATCCACTTCTCCCCTCTCGCCCTCTCTATCTCCGCCCTCTAGGCTCAAGAAATGAAATCCCCAATTTTTTCATTTCCTTGCTCCTTAGTCAAACATAAACTCAAAACACCAAAATTAAACAATATATGTATACATAAATTACATGGAGCCGGAGGAATGTGTACAGTATACCTACAAATATGTACATTATAAAGACAAAATGGTAATTTTAGTTCATTAATTATAAATATATTGTACGCTCCGTCCGAGATGAATTATTACCATATACAAAATTTTTAATTTAATTGTGTGTTAAGTGATAGTTAAATTTTAATCCACCACTAACAAATTCTATTATATTATCAAAAGAAATTGTATAATATAATTATATTATCAAAATTCATATAAAAATACTATAGTTTCTTGTACAATTGGTAATTAAAATTTTAATTTGCTTATAAATTTATATCTATTTACTATATTTTATTTAAACAAATTATTCAAATAAAATATTAAGTAACTGAAATTCTCATCAATCATATATATTCATTGTTTAACTATTTAAACTATTCAATATATAATTATATGTAGTTGAATAATAAATTACTTCATTTTGTTGGAACTCAAAGAAATTAAATAAAAAGAAAAATATTAAATTTGTTTTTAACCATCACATGATTTGAGCTAAAATTTTATATATAGCAATACTATAAAAATTGTGCACTTGAAAAATACGATTAAAAAATAAATTTTAACAAAACTCATCCAAAACTAATAATAATAACAACTTTGAATAGAGTCAAATAGGCCACCCAACTATATACCATAGTGCAATTAGGTCACCGAACTAAAAAAAGATGCAATTGGGTCACCGAACTAAAAAAAAGATGCAATTGGGTCCCTAAACAACACAAAATTATGCAATTAGATCCAAAGTAACTTGTTTACCTGAAATTGTAGGTTATTGATTTTAAAAATAAATTTTAAAACTAATTTTAAATAAAATAATTAATTAAATATATATATATATATATATATATATAAACTAAACCTGCCGGAGACGAATCGTCTCTAGCAGTTTTTTTTTTTTAAATTTAATTAATTATTTTATTTAAAATTAGTTTTAAAATTGGTAACTTACAATTTCAGGTAAACATGTCATTGTGGACCTAATTGCATAATTTTGTGTTGTTCAGGGATCTAATTGCATCTTTTTAAAGCTCAGTGGCCTAATTACACTTTGTTGTGCAGTTGGGTGACCTATTTGACCCTTATTCCTAAAAACTACTACGTACTCCAATAACAATAACAAATTTATAGGATTGAAATGGTGTTGTCAAAAATAAGAAAAAATAAAATAAAATTAGAAAGTGTTTTAAATGTACCAGAAAGAAAGTTCAGTGTATAAATTATCAATACAAGCATTACATTAACATAATTTTATTTCAAATTATCTATAGCTTAACAATTAGATTTAACGGTGTTAAAAGGAAAAACGTAAAATAGATGAGGGTTAACATTGTAAATTAATTTTATGTATATATATATATATAAAAGTAAAATCCTCTTTCCCAAATTCCCCCCGGGAAATTCCTCCCCCCCCCCCCCCCCCAAAACTTAAGGGCATTTGTGTAATATCCAAATTTAATTAATTATATATACTTAAAGGCAATTTAATAATATCAATTTAAAGGGGTGTGAGGGGCCCTTAGGGTTGGGGTTCAACTTTTTGGAAGAATAATATCAATATTATGAATTAATTAGGAATAAGATTAATTAGGAATATTAATATAATGTCTTGATTATGAATATCAATATAATGAATTGATTATGACAATACTTTAAATAAATAAATGCACTTTTCTTTTGAAAAATTTTACAATTTTATAATTCTTATATTTTTCACCTATAAATACAATGAGTTGATACCTAACAAAATTATAAGTCTTTCATTTTACATTGCATCACTCTTTTCCCTTGCAGGTGACTCTCTCATCACCGATTTATCAATTTAATCATTGTGGTTCAATAGCCGCTCAAACTAATATGCATATTTCAAAGCATTAAAGGTACAATTTCTCTTCTAGCTATTTCTATCTTTGATTTCTCCGGGTTGATGCCACTCCAGACCAGCTGTAGTTGCTCTGACTAAGCCGATGCAAAAAAGGTTTAATTTTTTTAAAAAAATATTTTTTTCGTCTTATTTTTGTCTGTAATTGATCTTCCATAGTTTTTAATTATTGTTTTGTTTTTGAAATTTTGTATTATATGTATTTTTTTCGTATTATTGGTTTGTTTAAAACAATAATTTTGTAATATTGTTTATATATTTTAGTTCCAGGCATGATTTTTGTTATTTGTGCGATGCAATGGTTATGGAGTCTACCCGAGTTCACTGTTTTTTTGGTCTATTTGTAGTTAAGAGAAAAGCGAAAGCTGCGGTCGACAAAGCCATTTGATGAAGGTGGTGGAAAGCGGTTTGATGGGCATATTTTACGCTCATATTTTAGGTACATCTTTATAATATTTTTATATTAATTATTTAATATTATCTAATAATTAGTTCTTTTTATATACATAGTATAATCTATTCTTATACTATATATAATATATATAATATATAATTTATAAGAGTACATACTACGTACTTAATACTAT